GTATTGCGCGGGATCAGCTAATTATAATATAATATTTTATAAATTATATTTAGATGTTAACTATTATGCCAACCTATAATTATCGATTTTACTACATCAAGTTTAATTGTCAGTTTTATATACTATTATACTGTTAAAAAAAGCAAATCAATATTAGATAAAATGCGATGAATATAAAAGAAAATCTTTTGGTGTTTAAATATGTTTATATAGCTCTAGGGCGGAATACAAAAAATGGTCGAGAACAAAGGTTACGCTTGATTATATTAAACATCAATACCATAATTTAATCATTGTAATTAAACGGCGAACTGGGCCAATTAAACAAAGTCAAAGCTTAAATTTAATCTCGTCCTATGCGCACTGATAATGCTATTTAACTTTATTATGTTCAGGTCGGAGCACCACATATTTAAACAAGAATCGAGCTGGGTCATTTCAGGCTTTTAGACATCAAAGAGTTACGACGAGACGAAATTATCGACTCGGGAAAACATTCACAAGTGCCACTTGACCTCCTCGGGAACCTCGTTTTTACACCGCAATTTTTATTTTTTTCATTCAATTTTTAAAAAATGTAACATATACCATTCAACGACTGCAGCATAAGCAAATATATTTTATTTATCATGAAATAATAAAAGTGTCCGAATACTTAATTTTATTTTAAAATATAGAAATAAAAATTTAAATGGATATAAAAAATTAACATTGAATCTACATTATTATAGATTCAATTATTTAATAAGAATTACCTACAAAATGTGTTACGAAGCAAGCAGCATTTAATGATGTTTTGTAGAATAGGTTAAATATTTTTGATATTTACCGGCTGTTTTTTACGTACAAAAATTGAATAAATAATTACATTATTTATTATTTTGGTACTTAACAATTATTGATAAATAACTACAATTTGAATCAAAAGTATAGCGTTTCTAATATAAAATCATGTACCAAAACATAGATCAATAAGTGTCATATTTTTCTTCAATAGATTAATTCCAAACAAAAAATAACATGATGTAATATATAGGTACCTAACTTAAACAATTTTGTTCAAACTTTCAACCCTGATTAAATTATAAAAATATATATATTAAATACATTTGTAACAATTAAGTATTCTTATTAAAGTTATATTAATTTAAAAACCTGATATAAAAATATTTAGCAATATTTCTGCGGTTATAATTGTTATAATAATAATTAAAGTAACGTATTGACATTACTTTAATATAAGCCACCTTTGTCCATTAATCACGCCAAGCTGTGACTAATGTCACTAATGATTATTATTTATATCAAATGTAGTTATTGTTTAATTGTACAGATCGGAGACAAACATATTTTTTTGAAAAAATATGCAGTGCCTAGTAAAAATGTGGTTATTGAACGACTATTATAGCACCAATATAGACCATATTATGGTTATTCATTTACGTTGAAGAAACTGTTTATGCTTGATCTTTATTTTCAAGTTAAAGTGTACACTATATATATATTAAGTAATAGTTATAATAAAATATGTAACGAGTTCACACCCCTCAATATAGGTAAAGTAACAAAATAGTAGGCATCCATCATAATAACGCGGTGATTTGCGTCTTTTAAATTCCACCTTATTACCTTTTAAGCAGCTCCTGTGCTTGTCTAACAGTATCTGAGGGACAAAAGGAGGAGTTATAATCTGATTAACGAGGCTCAAGGGTTGATCCGGGCCAAGGCTATCAGTCAAAAGATGTTGGACGACAATGACTTGAACAGAGCGAGAGAGGGTCCTTACGCGGGATAAATGCTTCATCAGTCATTACCAGGCTGCCACACCCTTAGAGGGGTGAAAAAATAACAACGAAACCCTTTATCTGCCAGCTGAGCAAATTTTGTCTTAAAAAACTTTTTAGTATTTTTTACAAATTTCTAACTTTTAGAAAAAGTATTAATAATTTGTTTCATAAGAATTACATTTTATAACATAATTTTAATATTTAATTATATATGAATCCTCCGATACTATGTAGTAAAAGGAAAAAGTAGGGTTGATATGCTGAAGTATAACAAGGACAGGTTCCGTACGTAACCTGACCATATTTAAACGATAAAATATTAAAATGCGGAGATTATAAATAAATAAAATGTTTGGTTCGATACCTTGAATTTATTTATTAAAAATCGTCTGTGAAGTTAGCGTAAACATAAAAGTATTTGTTTTTAGTTTAATATAATAAAAAAGGAGAATTTATTCAAGCTTTTCAAATTTTAACCTGTTAAAAACGTGTTTTTCCCTTGTATATTAGGTAGTGTTTAAATAAAAGGGTCTCTTATTCAAATGTTGTGTTTAATATTGTCTAATGTCATATTAAAATATTTTATTATCTCGAAAATAAAAATTGTAGAAAATATTTTAAGGATACTTGTTTTTCGTTCCTCGTAGACTTTCTAAAATATTCTCTAAATAATCCATCCGGAAATTGGAAAATACTGTTAAAAAAATAATAAAGTTCCTCCAACCTTTTCAGAGTTACTTAAAAAAATATGTCAACAAATTATATTATAAATACTTCATGTCAATTAATTTTTTATTATATAAATGTACACAAACTATTATTGGTTAATAATTTAATATTATATTCAGTCTACGACTATCAACAATTATAAATGTATAAATTCTGAAGTTATAGGCCAGGTATGTAATGAGTTAAATAATGTAGTTTTTTTTTATTGATCTTTATTTTTTAACAACTTCGGTAGCAATGGTCATTATATATTGACATATTACTTTAATACTAAGTTATATACAAATAATTACGACATTAGTACTAGATAAATAAAAAGCAAGTAATATTTTTATGTGTCTTTGTGGTTTTATTTACATACACACAATAGTGATTATAATATAAAAAGTAATCTAACGAGAATTTTGAATTTTAAATATGTGTAATGTGTATCTTCTAACAGTAAAAATTAAAAATAATAAAGTATAATTTACTTAATTTGAAATTTTACTAGGTATAATATACAGATTACCTAAATAAATAATTTTGAACTGAAAATATTCTTGATATTTATTACTTACACCATAACACGTTTTACAAAAATCCTCGATGTTTAAGAAGAAAATAAATGTTTGTATATATGCCTATAACCACGCAATAAATAACTATAATACACCCCTGAGATATATTTATACTACAAGAAAGAAAAATGGTTTAAGATTTTTATTGCCGTATTTGTAAAAGAAAAAAAAAAGGTACCTTTATGTTAGGTACCATCTTAAGAATAAAATGGACAAATTTCACGGTCATATATATTATTGTTGGTCTTTTGACACGTTTTATAACTTTATAAGAGTATAAGAGTAAATGAAAAAAAATCTGTCAACCTTGAAAATCTAACATTTTGTTCAGTTCTGTTTGTTAAAAAGGTCTTTTCAAAATAAATAATAAAATGTTGGTAATCACCAATTTACAATAACAATTCCCATTTTTATGCACAGAGGTAATATTTTAGAGGTCAAACTAATAACTTATCCCAAATGTGTTATTCTATGCTGGTAAATTCAACTAAAAACTAATTTTGTTATAATTTTTTGCGTATTTTAATCCGCTTAAAACAAATAAATCAAAGCTTAGTTTATTATACATTGGCGTTATCGTCATCAACATTCAGTATGCTCGAAATCAGAATTTGTTTATGGCTAATTTTGAAAAAGGGTAAATATTTTGACGTTAATTAAAAAGAGTGTATATTCAAAATAAATATTGAATCGAATTTTAATTGCTCTTTATTAAATTAAAAAACGATTAGAATAATTTCAAATTTCAATAAATAAAATATTGACTAACTACTTAATATAATAAGTAATAAGTATAATATTAAAAATAGTACCTACATCACGTCAAATATTTATTTTAAAATATAAAATAACATATTTTTTCCCAAGATACCTATAATTATAATATTATAAAATCATAAGCATGCGGTGCACAAATTATGATTTCAGTTGGTATTTTAAACATAATATTAGTTAACCTAGTACCTATACAAATATTAAAAACTATATAGGTAATACGTATGTAGTAAGTTATCAATAACACGCATATAGAATACAGATAGATTATAATTGATAATATATTTGATAATTCATAACCACTACCTATAAATGTATATTAATAATATTATTACCAACGTAATATTAGCATAGTATTATTTTAAAATATTTTCTATATTCATACATTTATGTGCTCGCAAATGGCAACATATTGTCTATTTTTTACTGTTATATCGTAATGATTTGTAATAATTAAAACTAAGAGACAAGTACTTTCTACTAATTAAAATTTACACACATCACTGTTTTAGTAAATAAAACATAGTAAACATAGTTATTTTTACGATTTTAAATACTTTGTGACCTCATGTCGTAATTCATTCATTCTACGTTCACTATCGATCTCAATATCCATAAAATTATATTTTATTCCGTTTATTCCAAAATATCAATTATAAAAAAATTAAAGATGTGGTAATAAAAATTATTGTTAAAATAGCTATACTTATATTATAAGCAATAGATAATCTAAATATTTAATTTTATATACCTGATATTCTTAGAACTGCACTATATTATATTAGATGTGTAAATAACTCAGAATATTATTATGTTTAAATAATGGAAATCATATGCCCATCTATTCAAAATTAAACATGCATTTACCTACGTTACTAAATTAATAGATTTAATAATATTTTAAACTTAATCAAATCCGATGTAAAAATCGTGTAAATCTGTCAGTACCTGCCTGTTATTATAAAATAATTAGGTATCGAGATCGACAAATTGAAATTTTAAGAAACATTTAATTTATTTAATTTTTAACGGTACATATATATGCCAAGGTAAATTGTTGTTCTGATTAAAAAATTTAAAAAAACGTTGACATATCAAAATTAACACGAAACGAATGGGTTGTCGTAAACAATAAAAACAAAACACTCACCTGACGAACAACTGTTCCTGGTTGTTAACCCTCCAAGAGACCACGGTAGCACCTGTTAAAACAATAACGAAGGTGATTGACTTTATATGTATGAAAAAATTAGAAAAAAAAATAATTATCGTGTAAAAACTATAACGAAAATAATATCGTTGGGTGCAATATAGGGTCATTGTAGAATTATTATATTAATTTAATAAGGATCAAGGCCAGTGACAGGAGGCGCGACCAGCCGAATAATAGATACCGTCCGGCGCAATTACATTGTTTTGGTGATCGATTAAGGTATTCTAATATTCTTTCGAATACCTAAATATATGAAAAATGTCGTCATTACCGTGCAAGTTAATGGTGCATGTTGTGTTGTTTCCTCTGTCGAGAACGACTACGCTGGACGCGGTAGCTGCCATCACCGATGCCGGTCAAAACACAAATGATACGCGTTGATAGTGATTAGTGATATCCAGGCCACCCGGAGCCGAGCCGCCGAGGTCCGTCTTATCACTCGCGAGTACCCGCCGCCGCCGCCAAGTCAAACCACCACGAAGACTTGAATTAAATATTCTAGACTTCATGATAATCACCACCATCGCTGCCAACCCCCCAATGTCAATGCACCAGTGTAGCCACTGACCAATCTCCAAACCCCGCGCTCGAACCGTTTAGAGACTGTCCTGGCCCATGACACTATGACAGTCCATGGTCCACTGGGCGAATATAGTGTATTATAATTATTTTAGTTCATTACTACACTAGTAAAATAGTAACTAATAGTACATATTACTATATTATTAGTACTTACTACTTAGTACCACAGAATATAACAATATTAGTACTTACTACTTAGACACTTAGTACTTGGGCTGTTGGACACTTGGGACTTTGCACGTCTTAACATGCACAAGTACAAGTCACAACGCCGATTTCTACTTTACCGTAGGACGTGTCCACACTCCACAGTCTACGGTCCGGGTTCAGGCGATTACGATGGACTTGTGCACAATAACGAACAACGCAGAGAACGATAATATAATTAATTAGATTTTATTCATCGTTTGACGATTGCCATGATAATAGATTGCAAATAAAGCCCGAGAAAATCATTTTACTGAGGGCTGTCGATATTAGTCAGCGAATCTTCTATGTACCGAGTTATGCCCATATATTTTATACAGAAACGTTTATCGATCGCTATCGCATACTTTTGTAGCTAATTAGATTATTGTGCTACGTTATTATTATTATATTATGGGGACGGAGGCCTACGATGGTGACGAGGTGTAGGACAAGGGTGGACGACCCCAAATAGTTTGTAGCGAAGTGTGAAGAAATAAGAAGACATTATTATAATATAATGGTCTATAATGTAGATACATAATGAGACTATGAGAGATCTGCTACAGGCGAGGACTGGCTGGGATTCTACAGCATCCCATGCCCTAAAATATACATATATGTTTACCTAATATTATTTATTATATATTTAAAGACACCTAATAATGAACAGCAGATCGGTACCAGCTTACGATTATTAGTAATCTATAATATTGTACAATTTTGATTGAAAGTTTGATGTAACTTGGTACTTATTTACGTTTTTTTTTTTTTTAAATTTATTTAAGTAATTTACAATCTATACAACATTATGTACAATGGGCAAATTTGATAATTAATATAATGTAAAATAACAGAATTTAACATTTAAGGGCAGGCACTCAGCAGCACCACCCGACCGAGAACATTTTGATGTCGTGGTTTTTTTTTTATTTAATTTATTTACGTTTTTAAAGTATTTTCAATATTTTTTTCAATCAAAATAAAATATATTAATATTTTATAAATAATCTACATATATCAGATGTTTTAAATTTTTAAAACAATTTTTGTTATTTGCCCTTTAAATTGTGTGGCATCCGCATCCCGTGCCCTATTTTACCAGTCCGCGGCTGACAGCAGCAAGCTGGTCACCAATCGCGTCCTCCATACGACCATGCACAGCAGTGACGACAGTAAACAAAAAATTAAACTCTGTATGGCAATAGGCAATATCTAAACTCTAAAGACACATTTCCCACCATTGACTATTCGACAATAAACTATTGTATTATTTACGTAATTACGTGATCCTATAATAAATTATTATTGTTTATTGTTATTATTATTGTTGTTGGTCGCCGGTGTAATCACCATTCACCAGTAAATATGACCGAATCGCTTGGTGGGAGGACTGCCGCCGAGATAAGGACGCGCCGTAATCTTTGAGCGCGACGAATCGGATATTGCGTCGTCCCGTGTTGTACAACAGCTCGCTGTGGTTGTGTACACACTACTGCCCGCCGCCCATGCTTCATGCGCCAGCGACCTTCTTAGCCAGCGCTGTGGGCCGGGTGATAGTCAATAATAAGCGGTCGACCGACGGACGAAACCTTTCGCGCGCGCCGTTAATCGCCCATAGTGCACACAATAGTATTATACACTATTATGTACTGTATTTCGTTTGTTTCGCCGTAGTTGTCAGTTTTCCACGACGACGCGTCCCCGACTCGTAAGCGCCTGCCACTCGCACCCGGAACCCGCGCATAGGGTAGGGCGATCATCGATTATTCGCAATAATAAATAGGTAGGTGGTAAAAGGATCGTGTGTTATATATTATGAATAATAACAACAGTAGGTAATGTGCGGCGTACGTACGTCCGTTATGACATAACGTGGTACCCTACGCCTATCTGTGCGTCTCTTTACACCCGACTGACCGCCAACTGTACGACCCGGCCGGATTGCATGCTATATATTTTTATGCCGGCCCGATCGTCGGTTAACGATTTTTTTTCCCAACTGTTCATTTCAGTTTTCTTTTACTGTTCTTCCCGCACAGGACGTTTCGGCGGTGATAGCTGCGTGGAATAACTTTCGACGGTCGTGGCTGCTCTCTGAAATATAACATGATGAAGTTTGGAAGCAAAAATTCCGCCAACACACCGATCAAGTGTACCATCCGCCTGTTGGACGACAATCAGTTGTTGTACAGTGAATTTCAGGTATAACCATAGGTAGTTTATTCAAAAGAATAGGTATTCGCTCGGGTATTCGACATTCGTTACCTAATACTCTACTAGTATAAACTAGACCCTAGAGACCGTTATGTATATTGATTAAATATTACTTGTGTAGGTATATTATATTCAATTTTACGCAACTGTGTTTATTTTCAATGAATGCATGTGTATAATATTATGTTATGAATGAGAAAATTATGAACAGTAAATTATAGGTACTTATTCATTATCAAAACAATTATGCTGAAATGGCAATATATATATATTTTAATGAACCAGGAACAAAGTTTATTACTCACCTAAATTAGTTCTTTATAGATTCCCAACTTTTGTGTCAATAAAATGTTTTGTGTACCTAATCGTAATGCTACAAAAATTACCACCAGTTTAATATCCAAGGTATACCTATTTGTTATTTATAGGTATTTTTGTAATCAAACTTGAAGATAATATACAATAATTATTAACCGTTATGTTTTTATCATAATTATGAAATAGGTCGATAAATATTATTTCACATTGATGAATTTATTTTGATATTTAATTAGGTAGGTAAATACAAGTGTGTTATTTGTATTTATCAATATTTAATGATTAAAATTGCCATTAAGGTTTTTTTAATTTAACTTATCTTAAAAAATCATTTGTTATGTACTAATATACTATTATGTATATTGATACATTAATACACAATTAGAATAGTTATATTTATTAATAGAAACACGTTTATGATTTTACATGCTTTAATTAAGTGTTTGAACATATTTCAACACTATGAATATACATGTTCATACCTAATGGTATACTTATTAAAGTATGTGTACCTAGTTACAAAGTTTTTATTAAGTACCTACTTAATTATTAAAGTTACAAATGTCTTATTACATATTTGTTAAATCATAGATAAGCAATAGGAATAAAAACATGATTTAATATATTATTTAGATTGTAATTTATATTTGTAACAAATCATTCTAAGAATATGTGGTATGCATTCTAACAGTGTTTTCTTTGAAATTGTACCTACCTACATTAAACGCTGATATAATATAAGAAGAAATAATCAGATATAATTTTTCTCTATTATATTGATCCTTGAAACAAGTAGTACCTATGTCAAAATATATTTATTATTATCAAATTAAATTTATAATATTTAGAAGATTTGAGAGTAATGATTATTCTATGCTAAAATTCTAAAAATAATCTTTATACAAAATAATAGACAAAATATTGAGTACCGTCAACTGGAATATTAGAATACAAAATTAATATAAGTTTTTCTATTTTTTATGTATGATTTAGGCTAGTGGCGTTGCCAAGGGTTGGCTAAAGGGGCTATAGCCCCCCCCCCTCATTGACCGGTGTTGACCTTAGAATTTTATCAAGATCAAAAAAAAAAATAAAAGCGTAAATAAAAAACACATTGTATTTGTATACTTGCCCCCCCCCCCCATAAAAAATTCCTGGCTGCGCCACTGATTTAGGCCAAATCAGGTATATTTATTTCTGCTAAACGCTTATAGAGTTATGAAAAGCAAATAGGTACTAAACTATAAAATCTACTTTGAACTTTCTACATTTTGTTACAATTTCCTAAAACAAAAAAATTATTGAGCATCCAACATTTATATCATAATCAATAAACCTACGTAATGCAGAAACAATTGCGTAATTAGGGTGGTAGGGGGATAGATCTACCAGAGCCTCTATAATATATATATATATATATATATAGAATGTACCACTCATCACTGTACTTGAAAATTTTTGTATTTTGTGTGTAAAGTCTATTCCCCTAGGACAAATTTTAAATTATGCCACTGAAGCTAAAGTTGTCCTTAAAGGCTAATACACCAGTAAAAAGAACTGTTAAAATTGTTTTATAGAAATCTAGATTAATAATTTATTTGTAGAAATTATTTAGTGTTTATCTAAAAAAAAAAAAAATTACAAATAATATAAGTGTGTCTCATTTTAAAATACATTCTTCATAACAAAAGGTATAAATCTTAACTTCAGTGATACCTCATATTTAGGGAACTTCTATTTTTATTTTTATTTTTTTAATACTTAGTTTGTTCTTTTAATGTATGAAAGTATGATTACATGAACCTAGTCTATTAAATTATGTCTTACTGGTACAGTGGTCTTTAGTATTAGGTAATTAATAATATAAACTGTAGTTTAAAATATAATGATAGATTGTTAGTAAACTTCAGTTTTATTCTAATTTCTAATTATATAATCATATAATATATTAATATGATATATCAAACATACAGTGTTAGATACATGTGTTTATTAATTTATATTTTATATTTTCTTGTACTGTGATTTTTATATTGTGATTTAATTAATGATGATATGTATATTTATTTTTATTTTGTAGATAAATGAAAAGGGGAGTAGTTTGATAAGTCGTATTTGTGAACAATTGGATTTAATTGAAAAAGATTATTTTGGTCTCCGTTATGTTGATAGCAAACGTCAAAGGGTACTTAATTTTTTTGATAACTTCAGTGACTGTAGGTATTACTTAATTTTTCATGATGTTCAAAAATATTATGATTCCATAAAATGGATTTATTTTATTAACTAATGATTTCATTAAGCGGTATCTATTGTATTATTAATGAATTACATTTAATAATGATTTATTTTGTATTTTTACAGCATTGGCTAGAACCATCTAAATCAATTTTTAAACAAATCAGAGGTTTGTTATTTTATAGTTTTTATTATTAAATATAATTTGCTAAAAATATATTTTTATTTTAGATATGGAAGCAGACAATATATTATTTAGCTTCCGCGTTAAATTTTATCCACCAAATCCATTTCGTTTAAAAGAAGATATTACTCGTTATCAAATTTATCTTCAGTTAAAAAGGGATTTATTACATGGTCGACTTTACTGTAATACATCTGAAGCTGCTCTGCTAGGAGCTTATATACTACAAGGTAATAAATAATAATATATCCAATTATTTTACAATCACAATAAATTATTTAATATTTAAAAAATAGCTGAACTTGGAGATTTCAATCCAGAAGAACATATTGATAATTATGTAAATGAATTAAAAATACTATTAAAACAAACATTACAGTTAGAGGAAAAAATAATGGATATTCATAAAAATGAATTGAAAGGAAAAACTGCCGCTGAAATGGAAACAATTTTTTTGAAAAAAGCATGTGTCTTAGATACATATGGAGTTGATCCTCATGCTGTCAAGGTAACAATATATTACAACCATAATGACATAATTAGACTCCTACTTTAAAAATGTATGACATTTATTTTATGTATAGGATCAAAGAGGTAATCAACTTTATTTGGGAATTAATCATACTGGCATACTTACATTCCAAGGTAGTAAGAAAATGAACCACTTCAGCTGGTCGCAAGTTCAAAAAATTAACTTTGAGGGTAAAATGTTCATCATTCATATCATTCTTAATGAGGTATTCTTTATTTATAATAATCTAACATATTAAATTTATTTGTATTTATTATAACCTTCTGTATTTTAGTTTATTTACTGTATTTAAGTATTTTTTGTATGTAATTACATGCTTCTTAGGATCAGAGAATCAAGGTAGTTACTGTAATTAATTTTTTTTTAGAATAATTAGTATTATATTGTACTTAATATAATATAATATGTACCTAGTATATACAATGACATTTTTGTTTATCAGAAACATCTAATAAATATTTTAAGTACTTCAATAAAGGAGTAATTACATGATGGGGAATTCTTTAAATTAGCACTTAGGGTTCATTTAGTGTTCACTTTAGCAAAATTTCACAAAAAAAAATGAAACATATAATATGTATTGAACATAATTACTTTTTAAAATATTATGTTGACCCGGGAAAAATGTTTGGTATAAATATTTCTTCGAGTTATGATTACAAATAATTTTTACCCAAGGCTCATTATAAAATAATTTTGGTTTTACTATAATCATTGTTTAATTTTCCTCTTTTTCGACAAGAAAGATTGCTTAAAAGATTAGGTTAGTTTTACAAGTATGTTGGTTTTAAATTAACTTGTAATTGAGTACTTAATAATTTTAGCAAATATAATATATGTATATCATATAGTATTGTGTATATTTATAAAATTTCTTTCATCTGCTATTGTCATGTTTCAATTAGTATAAATCAACTTATTAAACTATTAGATATTATCCACTGTTATTAGATTAAAAAAAGATATTTACATTTATAAATTAATATGTAGTTTTTATAATCGACTAGTCTCTTCACAAAAAGATATATTTATTTCTATTTAAATTGTATTTTATTATCTAATAAATTAGATATTCACTTATGTATAGCTTACTGCAGATTATTTATAGATAAAATTATAGATTATAGATAAAATTTTAAAAACCATTATTTTATAGTTCTTATTATGTAAATATCAAAGTTTATGAAATTCATATGGTATATAAATTTAGTTAATTGAAATATGATCAATTTTATAAATATGTGGGAATTCTCGTAACTATCAGCTTAAAGAATAAAAAAAAATATGTTCATTCATTATTTAACCATAATTTTATTTATATATATAAATATTTTCAGAAAAAGCAAACTATTGGTTTTAAATGTCCTAGAGGTTCTTCATGTCGTCATGTATGGAAATGTGCTGTTGAACAAATGTTGTTTTTCACGTAAGTTTTTTTGAGAACCAGATTATTTTGTTCATAATTTATTTTAAAATATCATAAATGTTAGTTTATAGAGACAGAGTTTCTCTACTATTAGTAAATATATTTTCAGAGCACCCTTAATAATCATTTTAATTTTTTTGAGTAGTTGTAACAGTGTTTTTTTGATAAAATAATTTTTTTATGTACCTATGTTAATTTTATAAACTTATTTATTTGTAATATTTAATTATACAAGACATTCAAATTAAATTCGATTATAGTTTAATTTGTATAACTAATGATGAAAATTTGAATGAAATAATCAAATCAATTCGGTTATTTAATAAATTATTTGAATAAAATCTTAAGTATTTATATTATTCGAACTAATCATCTATTCGATTTTTTAATTATTTTGAATAATAATATACTACTTAAAGTAGTAGTAACTAATAGGTAAATTAGTTAGTAACTATAGTTATTCAAATAATAAAATAATCGAATTTATTTTCAGTTCAAATTAAGGAATATATATTTTATTTTTAAAGACAAAAACAATATTAATTAAATAATAAATGCGCTTCAACTGAATGTTACCTAATTGTATTACACTTTACATTATACCAATGACCATACTAATAAAATCTATAACTATTATAAAGTAGTCCGTAGTATACGGATTACGGGTACTGAAATAAAAAAATTATTCAATTATTTTATCACTCGAGTGATAATATGCAAAATAACACTAAAATATATGTTTTATTGTACAGATTTCCTTCAAGCTCTGATGTTCCTAACGTAGTTTCTGGTGGAGGCTTTTTTTCGTGGGGTACTAAATTTAAGTATAGTGGACGTGTTGAACGGGAAATATTAGAAGATATGACAATTACCAGAGAATCTCCATCTGTTACCCGTGTTGGTAGTCTTAGAAGAAAATCATCAAGTGAACCGCCTACTCCTTCTAATCTTGTTATTAATCAAGTCGGTATGTATATTATATTGTTGATTTTTTGTTTTTATTAAAAATATATTTACGTGTTATTTGTTGTTAAAGTTCTATGATTTTTATCTAAATAAAATTATAATATCAAGCCACATTTTAGATTATTGCACAATGTGAAATTGAAATAATAAAATAATTTTTGTTTAAGTATTGAAAAACCAAAATAACCGCTAAAATAACTAAATCAATAGTTTAATACTGAACATTTTTTTGTGAATCATAATATTAAAAATTAAAATACAATAGAATTTATCCATTTATCAGCTATCTTGCTACCATGGAAATTCTCACAAGGGGTTAATGAGATTGAACCCCTACTGTTGACCGATATAATATTGTTCATGCATTCATACATTTTATTATTACATTATATTATTCTGAAATCTCAATATAAGGCTATTTGAAAAAAAATGTATATTATATTTCAAATCTCTTCCCCTCTCCAAATATTTTACTTACTTACCCCTGTCCACTGCTTACCACAACATGAGAACATTTATCTTTATGCTTCAAAAACCTATTATCTTACATTTCACATAAAAAAAATTGTAATTACCTTCTATTTCTGTTTTTCATTTATTTATTTATTACTTATTTTATCAAAGCCAATGGATTTATTAGTTTTACAATGATTTATTTTATTTAATGACATGGATAATTTATTTTTGTTACATTTATTTATAATCAAAAGTTTATGATCTATTGATCTGAATAAATAAATAACGGATTTAGATATTTAGAATACATTTTTTAAACTATAATTTCTACGTTCATCATTTATAGATCCACATTTTGAATTAAGTTGTATTTTCACTCCAAAATGTCATATCCAACAAACAATACTATACAATAAATCTAATATATAAAAATCTCGTGTCTTGATGTTAGTAGTCTCACTCTTCCGTAACGGCTTGACTGATTTTAATGAAATTTTTCTTGTTTATTTGGTAGATATGAGAATAGGTCATAAAGTATTTCTCACCCTCCTAGGTCCAACCCGTGCTCAAGGGATTTTGAGGTTTACGGTGGACATTTTTGTGTATAAATAGTTGCTATATTAGGAAATTAGTATTTATTATTTGTTTGCCATTGGTTAATCGGGCAGATCAGGTGCAAGCATACATTATATAAAATTTTTTCACATTGCCTACTTGATATGCTGTCACACATTGTCTGCAATTCAAGGTAGTCGGATTGCCTACCAGGGAGGTTGAGTTGCACCCAAAAGGAGTTGAACAATCACAATTTTTTTAAAGTAATTTTTTTTACGGCAATGAAGTGCGAGGGTTCAGCTAGGAGAAACAATTATTAGAAATAAGTATTTATTTATTATTGGTTGCCATTGGTACAAGCTTGTATCAAATCAAATTTTCAAACATGGCCTATACCAAGGAGGATGAGTTGTACTTAGTCCGCAATCCGACGTAGTCGGAGTGCCTACCAGGATGACTGAGTTGAACTTATTGCAATTAGTCACACCCAAAAGGACTTAAACAATCATAATTTCTTTTAAAAGTTGCCATTTTTACGGGCAACAGAGTACACATGATGAGCTAGTATTATATAATATTAAAGACAGGCAAATACAAAAACCTAGATGTTTTGCTCTCTTCTTCTTCACTTCACCTTAGATTTCTATAGTTATTACTTATCTTAATTTGAACCATTTAAATATACCATATTAAACATAGCAAACATTTTGACTAGGTGAATAACTAACCACTTAGCATTAGACTAATTATGTTAAGTAAATTAACTATTCATTTTTTTAACCGCATTAAATTAATTTTTTTTTAAACAAATTAGAATTGTTTGTTATATTATTATTATTAATATTTTACAGCAGGATTTAATAGCCTTCCACGTTCATTAACAAACACTAGTGAGGAATATAATACTTCAATAGATTCATCCAATCAAATTGATAATTCTTCAGTTTTAGAGACTTTATTAGAAGACCAGGAGATCATGACATCTAAAAGTAAGATATATTGTATAGTTCTTTTATATACCAATATTTTTTATTTATTAAGAACTTAGTATTTTTATTTTTTAAATATCTTAAGATATTATAAAAGAGTGATTAAAAAATATATTAGAATTAAAAATTATTATTAATTATAATTTCTTAGTTGAACAAGAGGTCCATCATGAAGAAATCTTGAATGATCATTTACTGATTGGTAAGTGTCGGGTATTGGGTCGTATTTTGCTCATAATTGGTTTAATTTCACCATCATATTTTTACTCATTATAACCGTATAACTAAATGCACATACACGCTAATAGTATTCCTTATCCACTATATTAATTAAATAAAGTTAAGATAATCCACAAATTGTGTTTTCATTATAAGAGATAATATGATACCTAATATTAATAATTTCATACTTCATATTATCGGGCATAGTTTACCATGTAATATTAATGCTTATAACTTATTTTATTTAATGTAACAAGTCATGCCATGTTTTTAAACTAATGCCACGTATTTTATTTTATAATGACCTCAACTTATGTTCCTTTTTTGAATTTTATTTGATTAACACAATTAATTTAAAAATTATAATAATAACCTCAGTATAATATGCTATATTACTTTTAAAATATTTACTCACAAATTCCTGTTAAGAATATAATTGTTTTTTTAATAATTTTAACCAAGGTTGATAATTTGATTGCAATTACATTATATTAAAAAAATTATTTTTATGAAACTAAAATAATGTAGTGATGGTGCTTTTAAATTACATACATCATTTTTGCTTCTTACACTGAATTATATTTCTAGTTTAACTTTGTCTTTGATTCGGTGCGTTCTAGTTGGGTCCCAGATTCAAATTTTGTACCAATTGTGTCTTATGTTTAAAATCATACCGTACTAGTTGGGTCCAATCATGCCTAAATACACTGCTATGATCTCAACTTTGACTAAATAATGTACAATCAGCTTAGGCATGTTTTTATTATTACTATGATTAATTATGAGTTAAACCTATCTGTGTTTGATGATAGACAATACTTATAAACAAACGGCGTGACATAACATTATGCACTAAACAAAGTTAAAAATATACCAGTGTTTTTAATCATGGGTCCAATTATCTGGTTTAATACTTACAATATTGTATGTAAAACAATTTTCTGCTTCGTTTGGTGGTAAGAATTTAAGTCCAAAAAAAATATTTAAGTAATTACCTAACTCTGAATTTTTCTGTATCACCACTTATCCTAAATTCAGAAAAGTGCGGGACCCATGTGCATCATATGATGAGATAAATAATTTTATACTGGCCCAACTAGAACACATAATTTGTGATATGCCCGGACCCAATTTGTACACAATTTATTACTGTATTTTTGGGCCCAACTTGTACTGCCATTTGATACTCTACTGATCCAATATAAAACTAGTGTATAACATTTTAACAATTTATTTACAAAATGTATCTACTCAGAAGTTATACTTAAAGTTAAAAGTTAAATTATACTGTACTTGCTATTTTTTTATAGTGTTCATAATTAACTGTTATATTTTTTTTTATCCTCTATAGTATTTTTACTGTTTAGTTCACATTCTTTCAATTATAAATTAATGACGATTCGCAACCTACATATTTTATTCTATGTTAAGATTAATGTTTACTTTATACTTAAAACTTAAAATGTATTATGTTATATAAACTCATAACATTTTAAAAGTGACTGAATATGTCATAAATATATATTAACATAAATTTGTATTTTCATCATTAAAATAATTATTTTACTTGAGTAGGTAATGTAATTTTAATTTTTGAGATTTTTCAATGTTGCGTCAATTATTCATATTACAAAATGTATTTATAGATTCCAACTTTATCGTTTGTATTATGAAATTATAGATTATTTTATTATCTACTAGCTACAGCTCAATTTTATGTAGATGTTCTTAAGCTATTCAAATCACTATTTATTTATTATTTTAAATTTTTAATTAATTAAAGTTTCACTGACATAAGTCATCTTAACTTATTGTTGTTGAATTACATTTTTTTTAGCATTTGGAAAAATAGATAATAATTAGTAATAATATAATAAATAAATATTTGTAATAAAGATACTATTGGCTACGTTTTAAAGTATTTACAATCGAAAATTAAATAAATAAATAGTAGTTATAACAACAGGTCGTGTGGGCGTCCACGCTTGAATCTGAGTACAGAAGGTGGGTTACTTAGTTTGTAAAATTTTGTACTGTGAGCAGAATTGATGTGGTCAAAGAAGTTGATTGATAATTTTCTTATGTACTCAATTATTGTGGGTAGCTGGAAGTCTTTGTGAAGTGCATCATTACGTACAAACCATGGAGCGATAGAAATAGTTCTCAAAACTTTTGATTGGAAAACTTGTATTTTGTGTATGTGGGTTTTTGCACAATTTCCCCACACAGGGACAGGTAACGGTCATAGGATTTGCTTATAAAGCATAAGAGATCATCTCCTGCTTAATGCAGTTTGTCGGTTGATCAATGAGGTATTTGATATTGGGTGACCAAGGAATACTAATGGTGTATAGTTTTAAGTTAGCAAGAGTTTTGGGGAGCTGGTTGGTGAAGAGGAAGTACTGCTGTACTCTTTTGATGGTTTAATGTTATTTTCCATTTTCGAATTTCATTCAAGCGAGCTTGAATATTTTGGGTTATTGTTTCGGCGTCTTTAGCGCTTGAGTATGAAGCACTGTCATCAGTGTATAGTGCTACTTCAGTATTATTCGTTGTAGGGAAATCCGAAACGTATAAGTTAAAAAGTAAAGGCAAAATGTTTGAACCTTATGGTACTCATGCATTAATTTTGTTTCCGATGTAGTATCATTGATTTGAACTTTAAAGCAGCGATCGGAGAGGTAGGATTTAATTCGATTGTAAATTGCAGTTGAAATGTTTAATGTTTTTAATTTATATAAAAGTCCGTCGCGCCAGACCCGATTGAAGGCTTTGGCTACGTTGAAGAAGGCTGCACCTGTATGTAGCTTTTTTTCAGATCCATAATTTATATGCTCTGTTGGGTGCAGAAGTTGTTGAGCAGTGAAGTGGTTAGATTTAAATCCGAATTGGAAATGCGGGAAAATCATTATTTTAAATAACATATAAGAAAAAAAAAATAGTTTAATTAATTAATTAAAAGCACTAAACAATATTATTTTTACTTATAGCTTATACAATGTACATAGGTATATGTTTTATTTTTATTCAAAACATTTAAATTGTTCATTATATATTTATATATTTTTAATCAATGTTTGATTATCCACACGATCCTTAGTCTAAATTTTATTAATGCGAATATTAGATGTTATACTGTAATTATAAATTTGAATTAATTTTATACTTTAAAACAGTATACAATAATAAGTGTTCAAGATACTGTATTGGACTGATAGGCTACAGCAAACTATTTGTTTTATCTCTGACCCTTACGCAACACAGCACAATTACGCAGTTAACTTTACTATTAGTATGAATTATTGACTTTCTATCAAAATTTGAATTAAGAACATTATCTGTGTTTTTACTTTGGCTTTTTACAATATTTAAATTCTTATGAAATGTATAAGTATATAAAATATAAATATTATAAAATAACCAACGTTAATACCCAAATAATGTTCTTAACTTTTAAGTTTAAATGTTTCATAATAGATTAATTCACTCTTAATACTATTCTAACAATATAAATCTGGTTCTGCTGAACACAGATTTGGTATTTTACACACGAGTCAAAGAAAGAAAACAAATAGTGCACTGACATCCCTTAAAGTCTTAACTTTAAGTAGGTATTTATAAAATATTTATATATATATACATATATATATATACCATTACTAATTATTATTTTGTAAATATATTATTGAATGTTAGCTTGAATGGGTTTCTATTTAAAATAGTTCTATAACTAATAAATTAATAACTATATGCATATTATAATATTATATTCAATATTTTAATTAATAATAAATTAAATTTCCTTTAATGGTTTCATTAGATTATACATTCATACAAAGACTTTTAGATTAAAAATTTACATTTTTATTTGGCTACCTTTTCAACTACCTATCATACATTTTGGTGTATAAAGTATAAAAGCATTTTATTTTTAGAAAGTAAAAAAATAAAAAAACAAATCAATTTAATTTAATTCTATAAATTTAAACTAATATTTTATAAGTACTTAAATCTACATAATATGGTTTACTGGGAAAAAATCTAGAATAAAAATATATATTCAAAACAAATAATCGCAATATTGTTTTTACAGATAATTTGCACGGAATCTATTTTTACTATAAATAGTATATAATACTATATATACTTTAATATTATGTTTTTATTAATCTTATTGCATTGATACAATTTAAAAGAATATGATGAATCAAATTATTTTGAGACATTATGGTTTGAGATGAGATCCGTTTAATTTTCATTAAATGTAGATTTCTCTTTATTCCAGTCTTCTGTGATTGTTATCACTTTGATCGCTGATTCGTAAATATGTCTAATTTAGTTTTGATGGAATTATAATAAAAACACATAAAACTATTTAAGTCTAACAATAGTCAATAGAAATGTCTAGAATGCAGATATATTTTCTAAACAATGCAAAAAAATATTTACCAAGAACGAGTATAATTTAAAACTGTGTCTCAAATTTTTTTATCCTTAATATTTAATGATATGTTACTTTATTGAAAAATGACAATTAAGGAAATATTTCTCTAAAAAGACAATTTTAATTTATTGATGAACCCCAGCAAAGTTTCTTCAATTGAAGGCCTCTTTGCTCACTCATAATCAACCCAACATCTCATTATACAATAATTTAACTTATTGTAAATATATATTTCATAGATTTTATGAATACAAAAAATTAATATATAAGCCACTTATAAATATATATAATTAGTGGAGGGATGTGGGGAAATTTTCACATACATACATATATAAATAAACAAATATGAGGGCACTACAGCATCTCCCCCATCCCCCTCACCAAAAAAAAATTAAAAATTTGTATGGAAATAACTAAATATATTAAAATTCAAAGCAAATAAATAACACTATTAATTATTATGATATTTTAATATTAATTTGTAACAAATTTGCTGACCATGATAAATTATGACCAAAATAATAATAACAATATAAAAAATATAATTTTTACAACTTTTTTAAAAATAACTTGTGGTATAATTTTCCTATTTGTTTTTTCAACATATTCATGACCTTTGGACTTATACACGAAACATATCTGGTTTCAAAACATACAATGAAATCTTAAAAAATTTGTATATTTTCACTAAAGGCTCGGTCAAACAGAAAGCGGTCTGCCATGGTGTACGGGTCCGCTGTCCGTGGCGGACAGTCTGCGTAGTTGTATTATTTTACAGTGTTCGCAACTTTGTTCGCACAAATCTAGTACAATTTTGATTACATTTTATAAAATCAAGTAAATTAATATCAGTTCTAGATTGAATCAAATACATGCCATATATATAAATACCATGGTATTATTTTTATAGAAATTAAAATACAACATATTATACCTATTGCAGCTTGAGCTTCAACTCATTTAACAGAAAACTTATATTTATCATTGTTAATAAAAAAAATATCTAATTTGTTTATAGACTTTACTACAATGGGAACAGACGGTTCACCATTAATCCAATCTATTTCAAATCAGCAGTCTGGTCAAAAACATTTAGAGACTACAGCAATTCGAAACAGTGAATCAAGCTTGTCATTCTTGCGACAGACTTTGCTACCAGTTATATTTGCATTGTTTATGATGGTTTTGATTGTAGTCATTATTCTAGAATCTGATTTTGATGTAATTGCTACCATCAGAAAAGCTCCAGAAATTGCTGCATTCAAGAAAAATTATTATGAACCTAGTAAAGACTTTTTACTTCGGCGTTTTATCAGGTCAAAGATATTTTAGTAATTTAATAGTACTTGTTCAATCACTTTTTATAGTAGTTTTACACTCTAGAGTAAGATGAAAATTGATATAAAACTAAGTTCAAGGTGATGGGGTTTATTAGGTACCTATTTGACATTGAAACTTAACATTAAATGTCTATTGCCGGGTTGCATGAACAATCATTAAACATTTAATGAATAATAAGTTATTGGTCCCTTAAAAATAATTTAGTTGCCTCTTGATTGGTTCATTCAATTTTGGGGAACCATTCAATTAATCCATTTTTTGTGCAACCTGTCATTTGTGTGCTCAACATTTTAATGACATAATTTTCAAGAATTTGATCAAATAATAGGATTTATGGTTTTTTTTACAAAATAATTCACTTAGATTTATGCATTTATCTAATCTAATCGTCCCAATGAAATTTGTGATTTTCTAATGATTTTGAGCTTTTACAATTTTAAATATCTTAACATTTTGTGTTTTGATGTTAATTTAAGTGTTTATGTGTTATACCAATTCATAAGTTTTCTGTGCTAAAGGTGCCACTGACTTTTACATATACCAATAAATACGAATTTTTTGTAAATAATACATTTTGGTGTTAGTACTATATGAAATATTGGTGCTTAAATGTTTAACAAGTAACACGGTGGTTTATGCTAAGAGGTACCACTACATATTTCAGCTGAATTATCTCAGATTACATTTTAAGTGTGTACTGAAGTAAAAATACTGAGAAAACGTAATTTATTTAATTACTTTCTAAGTATTAGGTAAACGTAATACTTTAAACTAACTTTTTTCAGGTAATACAATTTACAAAAACTAACCCATAACAAAAAATGCTCTTATTTTTTTTACTTTAATACTACAGACAAAAACATACCATTACAAACTGACAGTATGAATATACTATAATATATAATATATCAATATAGCTGGAAACACTGATGATAAGAAAATTTCAACTTACTGTAACTTTGTCAATTTTGTAATACAAAAATTGATTTTCAAAAATGAGCTTGGCATTTTTAAAATAGTAAGTTGTATTGTGCACGTGCAAGGTCTTTCAGCTAAAATATTGAGTGGTGGTACCTCTGCGTGAACATACTGTATAGTGTATAGTATGTTCCAGAAATACTTACCGCCATAAAATGATTCACATTGAACAAACGCATTTTTTCATATACTCTAAGTATAATTTTGGATATTTATAAACAAATAATAAACGATACATACAATCAATTATTTACAAAATACATTTTTTGAATATACTTAATACTAACTCCTACTTATGTGTTTCCTACTTATGTATTTACTACTAGTTCACCATGTATTTTAATAAATTAGGTAAAATTCAATTGCTTTATGGCAGAATTTTTTTTTTTACGTTTTACTATTTTCTTATAGTATATACTTTATTGGTGGGATTTCTAGAAATATGTTTAGTCAACGTTTGTTCAATTAATTTGTACATTTATTTGTAGTGTAAGTTGATTGTGGTACAAAATGCTAGTCATTTTTTAGGTAAGATGACCTAACTCCAATAAGTAAAATTATTATATTTTTGTAGCTTTCTTTTTACTCCTTTCTTAACTACTATAGTTAACAGTAAAAATTCATAATTACAGAATTTTATTGAATAGTAGTAGTGGAAGATTTGTGCAGGTGTAACTTCACATTAATATTATCTTAACTTAACATCTCAAAACATACATTTCTTCCAGCTCTAGGATTGATCTATGTATTGGTTTTTTTAAATATAATTTTATAACTACATTTAAATGTAATTAATACTAAATGTTATTTCAAAACATAGAATTTACAGCAAGTATATTTTAGTATTTCTGTAAATGGTGATTGTATTTAAATCTAACATATTAAAAAATAACTTTTAATAATTATTTTTATTTCCAATTTATGTTAAATTATATTTTTTAGTACTTTGTCTTTAATTGAATATTTGGAAATATAAATCAGGTGTTGGGTTTAAATAGTAGTTGTTAAATTAAGGGTTTTTGCTCATACAATCTTAGAACTTTGGTGTTAAGGATGTGTATAATTTTAACTTATTATAATAATTATATTCTAATTTCCATCTAAAATCTACATATCACCCGTCATTCAGTCCGGCCGATTTGATATACTATTGACTATTATAATCTAGTTACCAAACATTCCAACATTACTATAAACATGATCTCCAAAAACCAAAATCTAAGAAAAAAATTAAATGGTGAACATCAAAATGTTGTGTTTAAAATTTTATTATTCATTGAATACAATTTATAACTAACACAACACATATTATTATTATTATTGATATAAACCACTATTTTTCTACATTTTTGTACTTAAAATTCCTTTGATGGCTTTGTTATTTATCATGATTTTATTTTTGTTTTATATAATAATATTATTGATGTGCAATTTTTATATTATGTATTTTCTAACTTCAAATTTTTAATTTATATATGTATCAAATACCACAGTAGTTAGGCTTATAAATTCAATAATGTTATATATTATATTATATTCCTATTTAGTAAAAAAAATGTACTTAGATATAAGTTAAACTCCTAGAATTACATAACATTCCAATAACAAACTATGTATTATGTTCATCCATGGTTGGAGAGAGCTGAAGCTTTTATAATTTGTAAATAGATTATTTATAAAATTAATACTGTTACAAAAACTATTCTTGCCCCTACTAATAGCTTAAATTTGATTTACTTGTAAATTTATACTTCATTTAAAACGTTTAGCCTTCTACAGAGTTGTATTTTTCAAACATAATTGTTTACCCAAAAGTTCAACATGTGATGATATAAATATCAACATCTAGTAAAGTAGTTTGGTATGCCAAATAAAAGTAAAATTAAATTACATGTTGTAAGATCCTTCGCTCTATTCTGACCATTTAATCGAAAAACTGTGTTATTCTAGTCCTAAATACTTTGAAAGTAATTGTGTTTATTCACTAAGATTATATTACATTGTTGTACTTAAGTAAGCTTACCAATACAATTGTTTGAAGAAAAAAAATATAAAAACCGCTATTTATTATGCTGCAAGATTCCATGTTTTATTTTTCACAATTTGTATTTTTGTACCTTATTTAAATTCAAACTAGCTGAAACAATAATTATTATTATGATAGCCATGGCAACCATTTATAAACAAAAAATTCCATCGGAAATCTCAAAATAATATATAAATGGTTGCCATGGTTACATGGTCACACAGACCGATCGACATACATACATTCATTTTTATATATATAGATTAATAAAACTCCTTAGTGTTGTTTAGGTATATTAATTTGAAATAAAATGTATGTACACCTCAATGATGATCATTAGCCGGTATTGTTGTAGAATTTTTGTTATGGTTATGTTATCAAAACAAATATAAATCATACCTCTAAATTTCAACTAGAACAGGCACAGAAATAGTTATGGACTATGGTATTATTAATAATTAATTTTACTCTATACCAGCCTATGTTATGATGATGAATAATTGGTTTTAAAATTTAAGGTGATTTATATTTTTGTTTTATTGATATTTTAAAATATTTAATACTCAATATCTTAATCATTTTGTCTTAGTCATATCTAAAACATTAGGCATTAATTCTACTCTGATATAATTAACAAAAAATATTTAAAAACAATCATTTAAAAAAACTAAATTTGAGAATTAAATAAATCCATAACAAAACTATGAAAATAAAAAATAGTTATTTTTAACACGTTGACCGCCATGATCTTACATGAGATATTGGGTATTTCGAAATCTCACCAAACTATGCACTAACTATGCCACGTTTTTTCATACGTTTACATTTTATACAGTTTCGTCAAATTAAAGAAATTTTGAGCGAAGCCAACCTTTTTTGCTTATCGGCCCGTCCCCATGTCTGCTATGTTTCAAAGGTGGCAACCCTATAGACTACATTGGTAATGCACATTAATGATTGATTTCTGGTCGGCGGAGAGTATCACCCAGTGGCGTGTATCATAAAAAAAATTGATGTTGCTCAAATAATTTTAGATGACCTACCTTTCATACCAACCTATACAATTTCCTATTCCTCTTCTATCAGTGAACTTTAAATGCTTATAAAAAAAAATTGTGCCTATATATTTTTAATATTTTTCAACTGCATTGTAACAATATATCAGAAGCCTTGCATTAGATTTTCAAGCTTTTTTACCCAACAAATAAAATTTTAATGATATTTATAGAAAAAATAAACCATGAAAATTGAAAACTAATAATGCCCGTAAACAGCCCAAAAAGAGTCAAAATATTTTTAAAATTGTATGGTTTATAGAAAATGAAAATATAGGTAAACATTCAGTAAAATTTTCATGTGTCTACAGTTATTCGTTTTTGAATAACAATAAAATAACAAAACCGCTACATGAAAAATCGAGTGAATATACAATATTGTAAAAATATTAATTTTAAGCGCTCATAAAAATTTAATTTGATTTGCTTGTAATATTTTTTTCTCGATAAAGGTAAATAAACTTATGAATAATCTTGTACATATTACATTTTAAAATCTTAGATTTAAAAAGAAAATGTCTATGAATTCTCAACTCAAAATAATTGTCGTGATTTTTCCGTAGTTTGTTAAAATTTGAACTCAAATGCTTATAAAAAAAACTGTGACTAAAGATTTTTAATATTTTTCAAAATATGTCAGTGTAACAACATAGTAGAAGCCTATTGTATTAAATTCTCAAGCTTTTTTAGTTTTTACCCAACAAATAAAGTTTTATTGATATTCATAGAAAAAAAAGACTGATAAAATTGGAAACTGAAAATGTTTCTAAACAGTTCAAAAAAGGTCAGTAAGTACAATTTAACTTAATATACCTATATACCTATGTAGTTCACACTGCAACATTTATTTTTCATTTAAAAAATAATCACCCTGTACAAAGTACATAGGTACATTATACTTATAGGTGGCTTATCCACAAAATACAATGTTATTTTTGGAATTTTGTTGGAATTGTTTTTTAGATAGGTACGTGTTTATTAATTTTTATTTGACCTTTACCATTATGTTATGTTTTTCCCTCAGTTATGTCGTCTGGATTAGAGAGCCTAGATGTATCTATATCCAGGCTCTCTAGTCTGGATTAACCCCATACTCCATAGAGTACCTAATTGATATTTTAATTCATGTATGAAATATGAATTCAGTTTATAAGTTTATGATTATGATTTATGACTCACTTAAAAACTGGATTATCGAAAAAAAAAAACCCACAGACAAACACAGCTGATAATGCACTTACCATTAGGTAAGTTTCATAATAGGTCGATTCACTCTAATTTTTAAAATAACGGAGCTAAACGTGATCTGCTGAGCGTAAATTTGGTATGTTATAAACTTGTAAGACGGGAAATATCCGTGTAGCGTCATCTTAAAACAGTTAAAACTAAAATTAGTAAAATTAGTAAAATTAATACTGTAAATATAGTATTTGGTTGAATTGTTACAATTGAATCATAGAACAATATTAGAATTTAGAATTCTTTTCAATAAATGGCAATATGATTATTGTCTTATTATTTCCATGAATTTAAAATTATATTTATTAGGTATTTTATTATAGACAAAATTGATAAGAGCATTCTAATGTCATGGCATTTTATCTAATACAATAATACAGTAGTATAGTCTATTTAAACTAAAGGTTATTACTTATTCGCATAACAAAATAGATCTAATTTATCATGGTCATTTGTATCTCACGTTCTCACATCGGGAACTACTGGTGGTTGCCGATTGGTGAATACTATACTATCATTAGTCTGTGTTTATCCAAGTTCTAGGCAAGTGGTGAAGGTGAAAGTAAACTGTAAAATGTAAAAGTATCAGAATGCTGTCGATTATGCTCATATAGTCTCGTACAGTCATATCTATAACCTGTGTATAATATATTAATATGGTATAATCAAGTAGGTACATCATATTACGATATTCTTATAAAAGGAATTTTGTGGTAGGTAGGTAATTTTCTTTAAGTTATTAAATATTTATATAATATACTATATAGTCTATAATTTGAAATTCTAATTCTAATATATTATAATATATTCGCTCTAAAACTGTATCATTATACAAACAATTATGAGTCAGTCAGTCATAGAAGCAATAAATTAACTCATTAATTTTATTGATTTTACTGGAAATTTCTAAATTTGTCAGGATGTCTACAATATTAGTTACTTACGATGGATCGGTTCAGATAATTTCATTTAATCGTCCAAATAAACTAAATGCCATATCATTTCAGGTAATTATGTGTATAACTTAAATTGCACAATATTGTATTTACTTTACCTCAAACTTGCATTACTTATTTAAATATTAACTTTGTAAAAATATACAGTGCTACAATGAAGTGACTAAAGCTCTCATAGAAGGAGCCAAAAATGATTCTGTTTTTCTTACCATATTAACTGGTGTAGGAAAAGCCTATAGTAGTGGTACAGACTTATTTGATAGTTCTGTTGTAGATATGGAAGATCGTTTGATTGCGACACGGTAAATAAATATTTCACATATGTAACCATACCTATTTTTTTATTAATACTTATTAGCTATTAAAATATGTGATTACATCAACAGAGACTTTGTAAGAGCATTCATAGATTATCCGAAGCTGTTAGTTGCATTAGTCAATGGTCCAGCAATTGGCATTGCGTGTACTACGTTAGGACTGTGCGATCTTGTTTATGCAACTAAAACAGTAAGTCAATTATATAATTAGTGTTAGATTTCTACAAAACATTGTTCAATTTTAGGCGACATTTTCATGTCCTTTTCACAGATTGGGTATTACTGCCGAAGGATGTTCAAGTATTACATTTCCATTAATTATGGGCAAAACTAGGGTAAATAATAATTTGTTTTAAAATATAGCTCTTATAGTACGTAGTTTACCTTTAAATCAGTGGCCCAAAAGAATAACAAGCATCCACATATATTACAATATACAATATATCCTCAATGATATTCACAATGTATACAAATATTATACCTCACTTAAACATATTTTATTACAATACATATTTTAATTATTTGCCAAAAGATTTTATATCACTACTTATAGTTCAGCAAATTAAACTAACCCCTAGTTATAAAATTAAAAATCATTTGTCACCTTATTGATGGTGCTGTACAATAAGTGAGTATTGTGCACAAACATGATAATATGACATGTATGCTGAGTGACGTATCCAGAATTTATTTTTGGGAGGGGTTATAATTTTTTTTTTGACAAATTTTATCTGAAAATAATTTAATAATGATAACGTCGTTATCAATTAACAATTTTTGGGAGGGCGGGTTACAACCCCCTAACCCCCCCTGGATACTCCACTGTGTATTCTGCAATGTTTTTTATAAAAAGGCATTTTATCAATGACAGTTATTTTCAAATTTGTTTTCAATTTTGTATTTTTAAATTATTTAATTTTTGCACCCCTTATAGTATGTTTGTCAAGTGGTAAACCGTATTTGGGATAGTCAAGTAATCAAGCCACTAAAATTTGAAAAGCCCTTAATCATTATAATATTTCCCTATAAAAATCTTATACCATAGCTCCGGCCATCTACTTATTCATTACCCCTATTGAATATTAATTACACGTATTTGCTATTTAGGCCACTGAATTTTTGTACTCTGGTAAGACATTGAATGCTATTGATGCACAGAAGATTGGCTTGGTCAATGAAATTATCAATGACGGAATTAATGGAAGAAATCAATTAATTAAAAAAATCACAACTGAAATAGCTTTGTATAAATTGGTAAAATTAATTTATTACTCTTTTTTCAAAAATTTCATCTGTCAACTGTCATATTATTGTTGAGTAGTTTTAATTTTTTTAATTTAAATGAACTTTACAGCCTATAGTGTACACAAAATCAATGATGCTGAATGGTGTGATCTCTAAGGATGAACTGCACAAAGCTAATGATAGAGAGATTGAAAGACTGATAGAAAGATTCAATTCAGATGACTTTCAAAATTCTATTGCTAACTATTTTAAACAAAAAACGTTAAAGAATAAGTTATAAAATATTCCTTAAGAAATATGTATCTATATGATTGTTCATTGTGATTTATGTATTTCAAACAATTTCTAGCATTTACTTTTACATCACATTATAATCAATTTATTAACTTAAAAAAAATTGGTTGCAATATCATACACATATTATAGTTACCTACTCTATTAAGCTTTAATAGAATATATTATTTCAAATGTCAATTGTTTTTTTTTTTAATTTGTTCCTGTTGATAAATACGCCTTACAGTAGCAGCTGATACCTACCACAGACTAAAATATATAATATATAAATATTTAAATTATACTTGCCTATGATACAGCATATAGATGTTGGTCCTAGTTGATACAAATAGCAATGGATCAAGATAGCATTTATCTTAATCAATTGTAGTTAAACATACTAAGTTAATAGATTATCCATGGTTATTAGTTAGTAATTAGTAACAACTAATAACTATAAATGGTTAAATATTTATAGATATGCGGATTGGTGGTCAATCAGTACCAACCGATGTCCTTTTAAACATTGAACTACAGATTTACTGCCCAGTATAAAATTATTCTATATTCTGTGTCAATGAAAATTTTAGACAAAAATAAAACCTTATTGGCTGAAATATAATAATTGTTTTTCAGCCATTAGGGTTTTTGACTATTATTTTCATGATATTTCTTGTTTTATCAAATTATTATTAAGATAAGTAGGAACTGGAAATTTTTATTTTTGACCCTCTAAAGTACCAACTACATACTCCTCTACCAGAAAATATATTAAGTTAAAAATCTATGAGTTATTACTGCTTCAAATGAAAATAACTGACCTCGAAAAAAAAAAAAGTAAAAGCTTTGTAAAATCAATATTGCTTTGCTCAGTCTAAAACTTCTAATCATACCTGAAGTTTAAAGGGACCTAGTATTAAAACAGGCTCACTGAATTAGTTTGTATAAAGCCGATTTTAAACGCTCAACCCAACAATCACAAACAAAAAAAGAATATTTATTATAGTTTTATAAGTCTGACGACTAGCGTAGGGACTAATAAGCATTATGGACCAAACACATCTTTTAGCCATGATGAAAACGGTCTTGTACTTACTAGTCTTGTTTTACAAGTACCAATACTGAATTATTATAATGGAAAATGGGAATTATTACACTATGCTACTACAGTACTACTCTACATAGATAAAAGACTAGTATAGTATAGTTTAATAAATAAAAGGACGTGCCGGCATGGTCTAGTCTAGAATTTCTTTTTCTTTATAGGTGGTATTATAGTATTCACTTCATAACAAGGTCTCTGGTCTATTACTCTATTCACATTTTACAGAATAGAAATGAAAATTGAAATTTCTTCAGCTATTTGGTCTATATATACTAGTATGTGATAAGCTTCTTATCTTGGAAAGTAAACCAATTAAGATAAATGGCGTAAACACATTAAGAACCACTGGAAACGTGGTTTGATTTGGATTTTGGATTAATTCGCTGTTACCAACTTCAGACTGATGAAAACATCACGCGTCGCCGACACTGCCTAGGTACCGATCACCCCAGTCCCCACTAATTCCCAATGTCCCGAGTCCCGACTCGGCGAAGTCCAGCCACTCCACTCTAAAGCTCTAGTAATTATTACTGTACTTGATCTCTTTACTTCCCTATCCTCCTAAGTGTTTCGTTTGGTTTAGAAATCTATTTGTGGCGATCATACATAACGCATACAATGGCGTCCAGACGATTCGATCCGAAAGGCAAAGAATCATATTCAGCCGTCAAATATGTGCAGGTCGAAGGACTGGTGAGTAATGATGCATGTTCAATGCGCATTGATTTTGGTTATTTTAAAAACATATTATTAATAAGCCCAAACGGCGACCGGTGTCGGGCGCTAAAATTTTTGACTGCAGGCATTGATGAAAATTGCGAAACACTGCCATGAAGAGTGTGCCAGTGACGTGATCATCGCTCAAGGAGCACTTTTGGGTCTGGTCGTCGAAGACCGTCTCGAGATCACCAATTGTTTTGCCTTCCCAAAAAGCGTTGATGAATCTATCAATGATGGTCAGTTGCTTGATATGTAATTCATGATATTAATAATACTTAGTGAAAGTAATACCTAGTATAATAGAGTACAAGCTAATTTTCATTTAACCACTCTGTTAAGGGATTACCTTAGGGATACCACTTTTAAGGGATAATTTATGCATAATAATTACGGTATAGGTTCATTGTAGTCTAAATAGTTTTTAGCACTTTGTAAAATTAAAATTGTTGGTAGATAGGTATATTTGTTCTACTGGATCGGTTGTGACACAAGATCAAATCAATTTGGTTACATTTAAGTTTTGAACAATGTAATTTATAAATAAATTTATACTTCAGTAAAAAATGTAACCTAATTAAAATAATTCAAACGCCCATCTCAATTTTCAAAATATACAATTAAATATGTCTACTAAATTAATAATGATAATACTTATTTATATTTTTGCAGTTTATAATCTATATTCTCTGTTATAATTATAACTTATATGAATATGTCCAAAACTATGGAACAAACGTAATATATTGATTGTACCAGTCATAATAAAAAAAATCTTAATTTTTATTTTATAGAAAAATATCAATTGGATATGATGAAAAGTCTTCGTCAAGTTAATGTTGATCATTATCACGTTGGATGGTATCAAAGTTCTGACGTTGGAAATTTTTTGAGTTTGCCATTGTTGGAATCACAATTTCACTACCAGACTAGCATAGAAGAGTCTGTCGTTTTAATTTTCGGTGAGTGTTATTGGTTTGTATTATGTACAAATAGATAAGTATATTGAAATATTGAATTTTAAGAATTTACTGTATTTTATTCACTCTTACTCTTAAGGGGATTCGAGGCAGTGATTTAATAAGGGGTCGTGTATAGGCAATTTGATGTATTATAGTCGTTTCGCAGTGTGTTTGTGTGCCAAGTAAATGATCATTAGTGTGCGTAGATACGTTCGGAATCAGTGGTTCGCACCCGCATGCACATGTCACATAATAAAATATTTGTTCCAACGAGAAACTAATTTCAATCAATTGAGACCTAAAAGCCTGACAAAAATACGATAACTTAGAATGATCGGATTTTAGTTCTGTAAACATATTTGAATTCATCGTTCTTTTTTCTAGGTTATTGTGGGAGTCGATTTTTGAATAACTGTTTAACTTTTTAAAGAAAGACACAAACTATTTTCAAAAAATTGAGGAATCGAAATATGATTTAACGTGAATTCTAAAAAAAATATCGAAAATTGTTTCCCACAATAACCTAGGAAAATTGTCAATGAACTCGAATCTTTTTACAGAATTGAAATCTGATAATTCTAAGTAGGCGTATTTTTGTCAGGCTTTTAGGTCTAAATCATGAAATAAATACGCTGCATCGAATCCCCTTTAGCAGAAGTGCAGAACTCTGTTTTTCACAAGTATTAAGCATTTTTCTCAAGTAATATTGTGAAATTTTAAAAATTAATTTTCAATTTGTGTTTAGTATTTAAAGTTTAAACTTATTAATATATTTTTCATCTCAAGATTATTAAAATATTTTGTAATTCAGACAACACTTTAGTACCAAATTTTGTTTTATTTCTAAATATGGACAAGCAATTACATTTTTGTTTTGAATATGATGGTGATAATTGTTTCCTTTTTCGATAAAAAAAAACCTAACTGTTAAAATAGACATTTTTGGAAATAATGTCTATCTCAATTTAATATTTAGGTAGGTATATTATTAATTAATAAAACATTTTTGTTTCAGATGCTCCCAAAACCAATCGTGGATTTTTGTCTTTAAGTGCTTACCGTCTTACACCTCAGGCTTTAACTATGTTTAAAGAAAATGATTTTCTGCCAGATACATTGAAATCATTAAAAGTTGGTTATGATCATTTATTAGTGAAAGTTCCAGTTGTTATAAAAAACTCAACATTGACTAACATTCTTCTCTCAGAATTAAGTTTTAAAATTAAGGTTGAAGAAGGCTCTGAACATTTGGATATTGGCACTGCGTAAATAATATAATATGATTCAATAATTTGTATGAGTTTATTTAAATAACACATTATTATATTATTGTAGTACTGTTTTGGAAGGGCAATTACGTCATTTAATGGACAGAGTAGATGATCTAAATCAAGAAGCCATCAAATTCAATCGTTACCAACAAGCAGTTGTTCGTCAAGCTACGGATAAACACCGTTACTTACAGAAACGAGTAATATTTTCAATATCTAAGTAATAACAATGTAAATTACGATTTTAACCTTTATTTTTTATTTTAAATAGGCTATAGAAAATCAAGCACGAGCAGCGAAAGAAGAGCCACCATTACCTGAAGAAGACATTACTAAGATATTTAGAGCATTACCAGTACCTCCTAGATTACCACCCATGTTAATGGCTACTCAAGTTGATTCATATGCTGAAGAAATAGCTAAATTTTCTACTCAGTCTTTGGCTAAATTGTATATGACCAAAGCTATGAACACAAACAACTGATTGAAAAAAAAACACTTTCTATAATATTCTAAAATTGAGTATATACATAATTTTATATTTATAAAAATAATAAATAAAATCATACTTTCTATTATAAGAGTAAATGAAATGTAAAAGTATACAACTGAGTATATTATTTATTACATTTTTAATATATTCCTTTGTCATTATTTTGTACCTTCAAAATGTATTAATATCTAAACTCTGAAAATAATAATTTAGATTGGTTTTATATAATTATTTAATAAAGAGATAATGGAGATACTGAATGATTTATTTTAGTTATAGGTTCGTCATAGATATTTCTATTGATCTAATGGTTTTTATCTTTCCTTAGTGTTTCAAAGTCTTTACTTCAATTATAAAGTAAAAAAGTTGATTTTTTAATTAAACAATCTGTAAAACATTTGTGTTTATTTTTCTATCATAATTGTTAACGCTTGGATAATATAATATAATATAATAATAATAATAATATAAATAATATAATATTCAGATGGCGGTGTCCTGAAAAAGAGGTCTGTGTAAGCCTATTACCTGTGATAGTTACTATTTAGATACTTTGTTGATGATTACACAAAATCAATAAAATAACTTTGATAATTAAATTATATACATGTACCTTAATAATTATTTTTCTAGTACCTTTTTAAATACACTGCATCTGTACCTACCTATAATTTCTTGTATGTTCATGTAAATCAAGTAAAATGTATTGTTGGTATTTGGTACAAATGACCTATCTAATGATCAGTCTTAAAATTAGTAACATGAACACCGTGAAATAATAGAGAAACACTTAAAAAATATTCATCAACAAATTACCTTGTTCTAAAACTGTATAATTAAAAACCTACACGTATCTTAGCCTATATTATTAATAAATATTAAATAATAATAATTACAACATTTAAATTTTATTTCATTACATATTTTAATACCACATTGAAATGTTACATAAATGAAAAAATAATGTTTACTGAGTTTTATTTTCTATAATTCTATCTTAACTTTAAACTTATAGTTAAATTTTTTTTTGTCAACTTTTATCTAAAGGTAATTTAATTAACTTAACTTTTTTTTAGTTGTTGAAGATGTTTTGCTCGTTCAAAAAATTTAATACAAGGTTCCTCATAGCTTGTTATTTGTGACTTATGTAATTTATAGAAAAACCTTAATGTAAATTCACAATAGTTTTTTTATGAGCTCAATGTCTGAAGTTAGAATTTTGACAAAATGTGTTTGAATCTTGATCATTTTCAAATTATTATGAATTAGATGTTGGAAATTCATAAAAATGTTTGTTTTTTGTCTAAGATTAGAAAATGTAATAAGATTCCACATATGTTTGTCTACATCAAACAAAAAAAAAAAGCTAGATTAAATTGGTAATAGCATTTTCTATACACCATAACATTTTCAAAACATTTCGACTCTTTTTATGCTATTTATAGGCATCATTTATGATATTTTTTTATTTTTAATTTCTATTATTGTTGATAAATAATTTTTCGCTCAATCAAAAAACTTTAGAATTTTATACGAATACCTATAGTTCTTCATAATTTATTTCTCACTATAAAATCAGTTAAAAATTATTAAAGGTTGTAGGCCCGTTTTTTATAAGCGTTTATAGTTCAAATGTTGACAAAGTTCCTCAGAACCACAAATATGGCTTCAAATAGCGTAACTTTCCAGTGAACCTTTTCTTTTTGATAGAGGTAGTAACATTATTTGGGAACCTTCTATTGAAATGCCAATGTTAAGTGTTAAATATGAAAAGAAAAACTATTATTAATATCTAACTAAAAAAATAACCCAACATTTGATATAATATAAATAGATCATAAAAAGACAAAATGTTACCATGTTTGGAAAATGCTAATATAAATATTTGGTGAAGATTTTAAGAGTCTGCAATTATTTGTTTTGGAAATACAACAAAATCTCAAAAATCAATTAATGCGAATTCGATCATTTACTGCTGAATATGAAAGATCCTAACAATTTTAAATTCAAAAATTCATTAAAAAATGAATACCTATTAATTTCTAGTGAACTTTTTTTTGGGGCTTAAGGTAGGAAAATGTGTAGGGAATCTTCTATCAAAATGTCTAGTGTTAGCTATGAAAGGAAACACTTTTATGAATTCCTAACTAAAAAATAGTTTGAACATTTTCGAAAACTTGATGAATTTTGTCAAAATTGGAACTTTAAATGCAGATAAAAATAATTGAGGGTATGTATCTTTAATATTTTTGAATTTCTGGTAATGAAATTTATAAGGAGCCTTGCATTAAATTTTTAAGCTGTTTTACTAGGTATGTGAAAAAGTTTTTAACAAGAATAGTATTAAAACAATTTTTCAAAGCTATAACTAGCTCAAAAAGAGTCAAAATATATTTGGTGAAAATTTCAAGTTTTTGTGGTTATTAATTTTTGAATTGAACCAAAAAATGGTTTTGGGTAAAAATTATCATTTCTTTTGTTTTTCTTGACGCTTTTTAAAACTACTTGGAATTTTCAATTTTTACCTCCCAAAAGTAACATCAAGATTCACTTTTCTATCAGAAAGATGCTGATCTCGAAAATCGAAAAATTTTTACTACCTATTCAAAATGTTGCTGGAGGACAGAAAAAACACATACCTATAATCATTACTGATTTTACAATGATTATTACATTTTTCGTTCCTCTCAGAATCTAAAATATATTGATTGTAATAAATATGTTTTAATTTTAATAGTATCTAATAAATTGTATTTTTTTAAATAAATCGTCAATTAGGAATAATAAATTATATCATTACTTATCATGTGCACAGAAGGGAAAAATAAAGAAATAAACACAAATCATTGTAAAATCAATACAATCATCGCTCCTCTCAGAATCTAGAATGTTGGATTGACAATGTTTGTTAGACGATTTTAACAATATTGTATACATTTAGGTTAATTTTATTTTATTATAAAATGTCTCAATTGTTATTAAGTTTACTTACTTTTTAATATATTTCAAGGTAACCACGACATGCTGTCTATAATTTTTTTTTAATATGTGCATAAAATATTATAAAAGAACATAATATTAATATTGATGATGATGATTTTTTTGTAGAATTTTACATATAAAACGAAGTAGATGTATACAGACATTTTTATAATGTGATGGTTTTAAATACATGGATTTTATCCTTTGAATAAGAAAAATTAAAAACCTTTTCATTGTTATACAGATAATTCATATTAATTTTAAATGCCGAGTAAAGGTTTTAAAAATATTTTTAAATTCTAAATCTATTTTTGTAAATTATATTTTGGGAAGAAGTGATCGATTTTCATAGTATTTTCCTTAAGCTAAAGCACATACACACTACAGATAAATATTAAAGACATTAAAACAAACCAGATAAGTACCTTGCTGGCTTGCTATTACCGGGTTTTGCTCAAAATCATTTAACAAATTATTCAATAATGTTTCATTACCTAGGTCCTAGGTATATTGTTTTCAAATGCATTATAAAAACATTTCAATCCCAAAGGCCGAAGTTTTTAAACGTTTAATCAGTTTTTATATAAATTAGTTAGGTAATGCGAGAAAAATATGAATATAAAGTTGAAACCCTTAACACACAATTGCATTGTAAGTATTTGTATTTAATACAGACGAATATTCTTACTTAGGTACCTAGGTACCTACCTATTATTTGAAAAATGAAGTAGTTACCTACTTACCAATAATTTCTTGTTAATATTCATCTCAAACTTCAAAGTAGGAACTTAATTAAAAAAAACCTGATTATTGAACAATATTATAGGTACCCATATGTTATTCCATTTAGTAATTAACTATATTGTCTTACAAACATAACTACACCTCTATAATATCGAAAACCTCTATAAATTGAATTTTTAACTAGGTCCCCTAAATTTCGAATTATCGAGTCGTACTCGTACCTACTGTATTATCTAATATGGTAAATAATCGTGGTTATAGCCTATAGGCTATATTGACAATGTGATAAATTACTATATTAAAATCGATATCTACATATTTTATTTGAATTATCTATCAAACCCGTTATTATTGATTCACTATATAGGTATATGATCACTTTTATTTGTCTGAATAAAAAATTAAAATTATTATCTTTCGCTACTATACACTATGATAAAATTCATAAGAATCAGAGTGATATTTAAATAGTAAATACTATCGTAAATCGTGGTACAAACTGCAATATGTGTTAGAGTACCTAATTGATTCTAATTATTATAATATTTTATGATACAATTTAATATCTCGCATTCGAAATTCAAAACAACATATTAACAAAAAGCTACAATCAGAATTATTTCTATCGAAATGGATCATTATAATATCGCTGTGCAATGAATTAATTTCATCGTAACCATGTGACTCAATTTTCATAATAAGAAAAAAAGAATCATTAAACATATTCCACCTGTTATTTACATACTGATATAGGTGTAATTAGTGGAGGATACGAGGGGGGCGAACGTCCCTTCGTCCTCCCCCTTTGGGCTGTATTTTTAACGTTATTTTCTATTATAATATTTGGCTAAACAAAAAGACAATTTAATTTTTTGAAAGTTCGCCCCCCCCCCCCTTGGGTGACTTCTGGATCCGCTACTGGGTATAATATATTCTATTATCTACGTTTATTTAGTCGACAGTATTTTATCGAAATCTAGTAGGATTTATATAGTGAGATACTGAGATCAGTGTTTTACCTACTGTTGTATAATATTATGAGCTTGGTGGCTTGGTCGATGGTAATTATTTGATAAACACAAGCTAATTTAGCATAGTAAATTAGTATAAGCCGCATTAACCCTAGCTACTTATGGTGCATGTTTAATGTTTTGTTTTCGACGTTTTCGTAAGCGAAATGGTAATTTACGTCGGTGTTTTTGGAGAGCTTTAATAATTCATTTGATGTTCTTATAGTTTTATACTTTTATTATATATTATAGATA